CAAAGCCAATATACAGAGGCACTAGCATATAGAGTAGCATTCAATATACTCTAGGATCAAAATAAACCCCACTTCTATTGTATCTAGCTGTCAGAACTACAATACAGGAACGAGAATGCAGGCTAGAATGAGATTAATCCTCGAAATTCACAGCTACGAAGTGGCAGATAATCAGTACATAGCAGCTTATTATCTAATACATTCCAAAAAACAATTTGCCAAACACAGCTCAGAAAATAATAATAATAATAATAATAATAATAATAATAATAATAATAAAACCTCAACCGAAACACTCAAAATAGAGATCTCACAATATATTCCAATGTTGACAACTGCAACAAGTATGCTGGAGGTGAAAAAGAGAGAAATATCGTCGACCATGCTTCAGTAATTATTAAAAACAAACAGTCTTTGGTGCTGATTGGAGTAAAATACCAGCTGATATGACGGGTAAAGACACAGCTCTACTACACGGTGGGGGGAAAAGAAAGTCGAAAAACACTAGAAACACACAAATCAAGGCTATGCATCCACCCTGAAGGAATGTATCAAAACTGACAACAGGCTTCAATACATGGACCAAGAAAAAAAAAAAAAAAAAAAGAAGGTTTGCCTCACATGAATAATTTCAAACGATTATAACTCTAATACTCGATAGCCCAGCACTGATACTGTAAGTTAATAGGTTATTTCAAACACTGAAAAGCAGTTTAAAGTAAAAACATAAAAATTCATGTTTTTTTAAAGTCTATGCCACTCCCAAAATCTAGAACGTAAAATGCATTAATGCAAGTCTAGCCTAAATGCCAAATAATAAAAACACAGCAACCCAGAGTCTATCTAGATTGTATTGCAGTTACAGTAAACAGTGACAATACTGTTGTGAATTAAGTATTATAGTGAATAGAAAACGATTATCAAAATATCAAATCACTCTTTATGTACATAAAAAGCTCATTCAGTCAAAGCCCTATGTGTGCAGCCTCTAGCTAAAAGAAATCCATACTCTGACTTAGAAAGCACACCCAAGTCCAACGTTTGCCAATATTATAACATAAAAACAAGGATTAACCTCATATGTATCCAATAAGCCCATCTTATTTAAACTCTGTAGGTTAAGTGCTGCAAGACTATTTAAATGTACAATCTACTGTATAAGCTCCTGAAGTAACGTCAGAGACACTCGTTTTAAGGCACTAAGAGAGGGCAGCAGTACAGTCTGCCCGAAACAAAGAGGGGGTGGGGGGCTATCAGCGGTCGTCGATACACACTGGGATGGCTTAACAAACACACTCTGACCGGCTTGTACATGCTACAAGGCAATAAGGATAAAGGGGGAGAGAGGCTGGGCCGCCTGACAGCAACAACTACTGATTTCCAGCCGTGAATTAGATCATACTCTCTGAAAAACAACCACTGATGGGAGGTAACATGCAAAGGACACATTCTTAATTAAAATTTCCTTATTGTCATATGAATTCATTCACTCCCGTTGCGCTCTCTTTAAAGCTTTGCGGTTCTAATCTATTATTACTTCTGTTAGTCGATTTCACGGAGAGTCTTTCAGAGCTCAAGATGCTCCGACAATCAAAACATAATCAATGAATCGGGATTACAGGCTGGGAATTTCTTTGTCCTCCAAACTTTAAACGTCATCTTCGGCATTGTTACTTTTTTTCTTACTCTGTCCGCTATGATACGTTGTTTTCCATCTTCCCATCTTCTTCTTGCTCATCTTCATCATTACATGCGTCCATTTTGTGCTCTGCTGCTAGCTCTCCCGGCCCAGGTTGATGCCCCTGTCCACTTCCCGTGGCCCTTCCTGACCAGAAGGTACTGCTGTGGCCCTGCCCTGCTCCTCAGATATAAGAGAACTGGGGGTGGTGGCTGAGCTTGGTGGGGCTCAGAGGGAAGCCTGTGTAGGCGGCTGGGGAGGCCATGTAAGGGTGAGGAGGGGGCGGTGGAGGAGGGAAGGGAGGCTTGAACTGGTGGGGGTGGGCGGCGTATCCAGGCTGGTGGTGCGGGTGGATGGTTGGGGAAGGGAGGAGCCTGTGAGGGTGGGGAGCGGGGTGTCCAGGGTGGTGAGGGTGGGCGCTGATGCTCAGGGTCACCTGGTGAACTATAGCACCTCCTTGGGGGTGGGAAAGACCGTAGCCATGCTGGAGGAGAGGGGGAGGAGGTGGGCGAGAAGGCAGGATGGGGTGGGGATGGTGGGCGGTGGTGAGTGGGCCGCTGGGAGGGTAGGACAGCAGAGTGTGGGGGGCGGCTGAGGTGTGTGTGGGGCTGAAGGTGTGCGTGTGGACAGTAGGGGGAATGTAGGCGTGCGGCCGCAGAGGCCCATAGTTGCCGTTCCATTCTTTGCTGCTCTGGTTTGAAGCGTACGGCTGCACCTGAGGGAGAGGACAGACAAAGAAGACTCATTTAACACCAGGCGCAACTCACACAGGACACAGGAGCAGTCTGAGACCTCTGATATATGCGCATGCTCTTCTCTCTCAGAGTAAGACCAGAAGACTGACATTACTCGTATCTGTTGCTGTGAACATGAGCTCATAGATACACAGCCTAACGCTGCTGAGTTTTCGACTCCACTAAAAAACAAAAAAAACAACAAACTCTTGTTTTACTTTCAACTGGCAGCAACAAAAAACAATATTAGAGATTACTGATTTAGCTTTTTGATTCACAGGTGAACTCTGGGTGATATCTGGACATGTTGGAAACCATTACTGGCCTGAACGCACCAGCAGCCAGTCAACTGGCTCAACAAGTTTTTTTTGCTGGTCCTAAGCCACTGGTTAAGTCATTTCATGAACAGAGATTAGAAGAGCTCAGAAAAGGGAAACAAAAACTTTCAGCACCTCTGTAAGTAATCCATCGCAGACAAAGTGTATAAACAGCACATTGTCTTTCCATGTAATCTACGCTGTGAACCATTTCTTGGCTGAAAGCAGAAACTTTCAAGTTTTTGCCAGTACGCGACCACACACAACCACA